AGATGCTCGTGTCGATTGGTGCAAACAAATGATTAAGAAATACAAAAAGTGTATAGATCATAAAGGAGAATATTTTGAAAAACAATAAAGTCATTTTCAATGACAAATTACTGTTTTTTTATTATTAGGCTCAAAATATAAATAGTGCCCCTCGTATAACTATGATGCATAATGTATTAGAGAAGTTCTATTGAATCAAAATTAAGTATGTTATACGATTTTCAACCCTTAAAAGGAATTTGTTATGATTAGTTAAAAAGATATTTATGATTAATGTAGTCTGTTCTATCAAAGTTGTAATTCATATAAACCATAAAGTACCTATTAAATATTTTTTAATTACTAAAATTATTTACTGATATAGATTCTTTTTAACATCTTGTTATTAATATTCTTATAAAAATACTTTAAAAAATTATTAAAATTGCTTGCTCAATTTAATAAATAATACTTATACTACTTTGGTTCTGCTTATAAATGCGTTTCAAGACTGAAAAAGATTTCAACGCGCAGTTTGCAGAATCAGATATGTACATATATTCACACAGAAATATTTAAGCACTAAGGACCGGTTTGACCGAACATAGGGTTTCTTTTATTTAATTAGATTTTTAATTATGTTAATAATTATCAGATAGTATTCAGCAACTTAAAAAATTCTTAAGTTTAAATAATATAATTAAAAAATATTTGATAGATCTTTTGAATACTCTATGTAAGTTGCAATTTTGACGCAAATAGATTTCATATTATTATTATATTTTATATTAATATTACAAATATTACATTTTTTAATCATAATCGAAACAAATTTTTTTAACGATATGTTAAAAAATCATATATAAATAATTATAATACAACAAGATATATTAAAACAGTCTTGTTGCCATAGGGATGCCAAGACCTTTGCAACTTGAGCTACAAATTTCTTAAAATTGAAATTAATAGAACTATTTAGCGAAATCATATTTAACGTCTCAAAAATAAGAAGGGATTACTCTCGTTTTTGTGTTTAAATAATGACATTTTTTATTTAACAGTGTAATTTATGAGCCTTTTCTCAGAACATATTTGACTCAGAACGTTAATTTATGTTATAAACAGCACAATTAAAGATATTTCTTTGATAAAAAAAAACTTTATTAAATAAGGACGAATACATTAATGAATATATATAATTTGAAAATTTAATAAACTTATCTGAGCATACGTTCAGATATATAAAATTATTTCAACAAAAAATTGTTGAAAAAAGTCGTTAATCTTTCTATCCACAAATCAGAGAATGGCATTGATCGTTATCGTTACGAATATGATATGAAGCATCCAAATGAGCCTCTCCTATCTATTCCGATGTCATTATAGATGTCAACGTATCCTATCAATATCTTCGAATGAAAACAACCAATACTATTCTGTGTGAATTCGAAATAAAAGGGATTTATGCATAGACGTTACGTTCGTCCTTCCATCCCTTTCCAGAACTTCCAATTTAAATGGGAATCGATTGTAACAACGTGAACGAAATTTCCAACTGCTGCTTATATAGATAATTCTGATATTTTATTTAAAGTACTTATTTTCTTAATGTCATTTAGGTTATTCTATCTTTTGTCATTGAATGTATACATGTATTTAACGAAAGATAAACCTAAATGACATTAAAAAAATAGGTACTTTATATAAAATATCAGAATCATATATGGTAGCAATTTTTAATTTCGTTCATATTATTATAACATTATACAAAATCCCAGAAACGTGTTATAAATAAGTTATTTATAAATAAAATTATATCTACATATAATTTAATATGAGATACAGCAACTTAGAAATCTTATAATTTAATGAGGAAGTCTTTATAATTTAATACGAGAGATGGTCTCTATAGAAATCTTCATAATTTAATACGAAAAATAATCTACATAGAAATTTTATAATTTAATATAGAAATCTTTATAATTTAAAACGAGAGAGACCTGCATATAAATTTATGAATATAGAACCAGCAATTTGAATTCGGATATACACTATAAATCACTTTAGTATTATATTTTCTCTATACTATCAGAGTAATAGCTTCAATTTACAATTGTACTATTATAATTTCACAACAAATTCAGATTGCTTTAATAATTCTGATTTTTATGTAAAAAAAAATTCGCGTAATTTTACATTTGACACAAAACTCTCCATTTCTTGACGTAAAGATAGAACAATAATTGCATGTTGTAAACAAGCCAATTATAACATGTCACCAAAACGGACCCGAGGGTTTTTTTTATCATTAAATCGGAAGTCGAGCCGAGGGTCCAACCGCGAAAGAGCGACGATGGGAGGACGGCACGTGCGTACGCACGCACGCACGCACGCACGCACGCACGTATGGGTACAATATTTATATAAGAAACGGCGCCGTCACTTCTCGCATCGCAACGGAGAGGTTTCTAATTCGGACAGAGGAAGAACAGTATGAGTGCGTCAAGGCCGGATCATTTAATCAAATCGCTCGACTGGTCGGTCCGAAAGCATTATTAACTGAATTTATGTATCTGTCTGTCTCGACTGGAAGAAGAAGATGGACGGATATATCTTATTGTATCATCACGACATGAGAAGAATCGCAATATCGATCATGGGTACTTGCAAAAAGAAATTAATAAAGTTTTGAATACACTGAACGACTCCCGCAAATTGATTTTCGCACGACAAATTATTCAATCGAAAATTGATATTCTTCTTGTATATGAACAAAAAAGGAATTACTCAGTTTATAAATTTCACAGGCAAGAAGGTATTTTCCGCGTTTTCAAATCAATTAATGGTACTTGTAATTTATCAAGGGATCAAAAAACATTTCGTTAATCGTTATGATTGTAGATGATTGAAAATGAGCAAAGTTAATTGAAAAAGACTGCATTGCCCTAAGGAAATCGAGTATCTCTATACTTATAATTAACCCCAAACTCTATTATCAATATGCTATCGAAGGTCCAAAGATAGCTAGTAGTAGATGGCATGTACAAAAGCCGATTAACGATCTAGTGAAGATGGAGAGAGAGAGAGAGAGAGAGAGGGGGGCGAGGGAGGGGAGCGCTCCCATGTTTTTTCTTCGTCATGTTATGAACAATCGCGCAATTTCATCGTAAAAATTTCTACACGCGACTTTCATCTCGACAATCGAGAGAACATCGGATACAATATAGATGGAATAGAAGGATTAGAGAAAACGAGATATTCAAATGATATTCATGAATCCGTTGCTGCATCAATGTTAATTGAATACTAATTTTAGAATAGCGCATCATTTCATGTACCACCACAGAGATTATCAGTCTCTCGTTACGCATGAGATTGTAAATAAAAACTCGCACAAATGCCTATACAAAACATGAAAAAAAAAATAAATAAACGAGGCAAAATTAGTGTTGATAATCAAACACATAACATCATTCCCGATGGTTGACGTCAAATACCCAAATAAAGCAACGACCATATCAATTATAGTTGCCGTACAAAAAAATAGCCGTACAAAAAAGTGCCGTACAAAAAAAGGGTTATCTAAATTTATTTTAAATATAGATTGTCAGGTTATTGCTTTAAAAAGCAAAAAAGAAAAAGAAATAGTCGATTGTTTTAGAGAGAAAATATTCATAGACTTTTTTGACTAAAAAAACTAATCTTACGAAGAACGAGGAAGGAGAATGTATAATTTCGGTCGGTTTTAACTCATAAATTTAAATGCCATCACAGGAATAAGATTGAAATTATGGCTGCGTTCCATTGGCTGCTCACAGCTCTCTTAGAATTATTTCGTCTTTGTTCCCATACAGAAGTTTGCAACAATACTGCTGTAACACTTCCAATGTTACTGCAATATTGCTGGAACATTGCAATATGTTGCTATAATATTTTTTAAATAATCTATCTTGTGAGATAAATGTACCAGTTATATAGTGAACATTACTTAATTATTGAACAAAATGACAAAAATTTTAAATGTAAAGCTTTTAATGGTACGTACTGGTGACTTCAAATAAATTCGCATTAAATTTTTATAAACAATGACTTTATTTAGAGTCGTACGTATCATTAAAAGTTTAGTTTTAAAATTATTGTCATTTCATCCAATAATTGGGTTACGTCGACTGTCTACTAATTAGTACATTTATCTTATGGGTTATTTATCAAATTTTAAACAAGGACAAATGACGCTCATAAGCTTTATAAGCGCCAAATGGAACGCATCCAAAATAAGCGATGTCGATCGTCTTTTTTCCAAATCGACCGGGGTAAAATCTCATGAATATTCCTGATCGGAGCAGACCTGTCGATGCAAGCGTCCCGTGATGAGTTTCTCTCCGAGGCGTTCACCTACTCTTCTCCCGGGGATGCAAACTCGATCGTTACTGGAACGCATCCGACGCATAGATACATTTATAAGGGCCCAAAGCGTGCCAGTGCGCACACAGTTCGTCGTTATCGTTATTCTCGGGAACGTACTCAAATAATAAGAGTCTAATGATAGTAACGACTGTAACAGTCACAAAGCCGAAAATACGAATAGCAACGCGCGAAACGTTTGCGCAGCGTTTCGGGGAATTCGGAGTTGCTTGCAAATTGCACCCACACATTGTCCTGTCGTCTCGAATCTTTGAGAGACGAAAGTACCATTATTTTTCAAAACAACATCTTTTTTATATTTCATTATTTTTTATATTTCATTATTAGTTATCAGAAAACTCTTTTTTATATCTATAATACAATAAAGACTGATAACTTTCGGCAAAATTAATCAAGAAAGGAAAATGTTGTGTATCGGTTTTAAAATAACACCTTTGTTGAGTATAATGGAATACAAAAAAAAGATTCAATATATTTAATCGGTGCATCTTATCGGGGCTATCAGTAATAAGCAACAGATGACAACATCGTTTCTACGAGTTAAAGATAATAATTAAAAATGACAGAGAATCGCGACACAAGGTGTTTGTACTTACCATATGAAGTCCTTGCAATGGCTGCAGAAGGTGGGCTGCTTGAAGAATCGGGGCATAAAGCTGTGATTCTTGACCATGTAGACATTCTTCTTCTTGAGGGCGCCCTTCCGGCCCCGCAATTTCTTGGCGAAAGCGGTATTAGTGTCGCCGGTCCCGAGGGAGTCCTCGCACGTGTTGTTCTCCTGGTCATCCGCCATGGTTCCGCCGCTGCTACTGACTGGCTGTTGCTGCTGTTGTTACTGTCGCTGACCGGCCGATTGACGTTGAATCGACTCGCCGACAGCGTCGACGGTGTCCCGTGCCACTCCGCGGGCGGCTCGTCACCGAGGATGACGCCGGCCTCCCCGGAACCTCAGTCAGATTACGATGCCGCGTTCTGTACTCTCGGGTTACGCGCGCGCGGTTCGTTCCGCTATTCCGACGACGATCGAACTCGGTACGGAGAGTGGAGACCGCACGCGGGAGCTGTCACACGGCTCCGACGACCGACGACGGTATGTCTCGCGCGCGCGACGCTTGACGGACGATGGGGAAGGGAGCGCGAGAGAGAGGGTGGGAGAATTGGAGAGAGCGAGAAAGAGATGGAAAGAGAGGGAGAGAGAGGGAGAGAGAGAGAAACGACGTCGGCGCGCGTGGTTCTTTCGAGCCCGCGACGTCCGATCGAGTCTAGGTGTTAGATAACGTATTCTCCTGCTGCTCCTGGAGCTCGCACCTTCTCTCTCGATGACACGTCGTCGGTCCGACGATGGCTATCCCGACTCCGTCGGCTCCCTCCCACTCACGGCTCCACCGAGCTCTATGCTTTCGCGTTCCTTCTCTCTCCGTTCGTCTCGCTTTGACTTCACGCAGGAGTCTATTCCTTCCTTTAGCTCATGTTGTCTTCGTTGCTCTACAATAACACTATTATTACCTTCTCTCTTTCAGCACCGGTCGCTTGACTCCGTCTAATATATATATATATATCTTTCTCTCTCTCTCTCTCTCTCTCTCTCTCTCTCTCTCTCTTTCTTTCCCCCGCGAAGTGCGCACCTTTTCGTTCCCCACTTTCCCCTCTCCTCCAACTACGCTCGTAATAACAAATACGACTACTCCTACTACACACTTGCCTACTTCGTCTCTCTTCCGCTCGCTCCCTCTGTCGGGCGATCTCAGCTTTCCTTGTCTGACGCCCACCTTTCCCTTTTGTCGCTCTCGCTACTCCGTTTCTTTCTCTCGCTCCTTAACAACTTTCTTCTTCTCACTTTCGCTCGCTCTGATTTCTCGTCTCGCTCCCACTGTCTCGGCTACCTCGGGTCTTCCTCGTCGTCGCGAGCCTCCGTCGTCCAGGCACCTGGTTTTGCGCGATGTACCGTCTCCCTCTATCCCGCGATGCCGCCTCCTCCCGCCAACCCTCCGCCGACGTTACGGACCGTCCTTGTCCGTTCCGCGGTGCGACGCCGTGACTACCGCGCCTCTATTCTTTTCTCTCTTCCTCCTTCGGCCGCGCGCGCGCGGGTTACCCGATAATTTTAGACTCTCGGCGCAGTGGCTCGGCACAGCCACTGCTCAGCCTGCGCTGCGCACTCGAATATCGACATGCGACCAACGGTGGTGGCCACGAGACCCGCGAGCCGCACGCAACGGCGCGCGATGAGATCGCGGCGAGGAAGATGACAGGAGCGATGGTGGAAAAAACTGGAAAGGGAAAAGTGTATAATGTTTCCGCTTTCTTGCTCGATTCCTTCCTTTCTTTCTGAGCTATAGATGTCCAAGTCATGCTTTTCCTTTGTTCTTCTCTTCTTGCACGAGATGCACCTTGCAGACTTGCAGCAGCACGAGATGGAAGGGAGAGTGATGGTGGTGGAAGCTCGACCTCTGCCTTCATCCCCCTATATCCTGATTTTTGAGCGCGCGCGCGTGTGTATGTCTTTCCCAGCCTCTCTCTCCCCCCCCCTCTCCCCCCTCTCTCTCTCACTTCTTACGTTGTCTTCTTTGTTTTTTTCAATTATTTTATTTTTATGTAACTTTTCTAGTTGTTTTCTTTTTACTTTTTGTAACATGCGTTTGTTAATTTTTCTTTTTTTTTTGTTACTTGTGCTGTTTCTATTGAATGTCTTGTTTACTTATTTGTATAGTCTTGGAAGACTTGCCTGCGAGCAATAATAAACGCTTTCTCTCTCTCTCTCTCATTACTCTTGTTTGTTCAACGAGGACATTCGGTCACTGGACCGCAGAAAGCGTCGGACCATAGAAAGCGACCTACTCCTGGAGGAGACAGAGATCAACCCTTCCGGTAGAGCGATTCTATATGCGCGGATTCGGTGCCGGACGTCTCCGATCTTTTCGACTCGCCTACGAAAACGCATGATCCTGTACGACCCACTCAATCTGTCTGTCGCAAACAGTAGTTGCGACCGTTCAATGTCAGACGTATCCCTCGACTAACGGCATCTGACGCGTTAGCTATATCTCGGCTACTTATGGTCCTCGCAATCGCGGCCTCGGAGGGACGGCCTTCCCCTTGAGACTTTATCTAATTTTTCATATGTCGCAACTATTGATTCCTCACCTACATTGTTCTACTTTTTAATCGTAGAATATTTCTCATTTATGAGCACCGCACGATTGTTTATTCAATAGTTTATGCATTTCGAATGTTTGCTCTAACGTTTAATTAATTAATTCGATTCGGTAGCTCGCTTCGAAATTCTCTGATCCCTTAATTTATATGCATTCAGCTATAAATTACAAATATAAATGAAACATATAAATCTCACTACTAATCTGTCAATATAATATAGGATACAATCCCCACGAACAATCATTATTTAAGAAAATAAATCTAACACGCTGTGCTCGCACTTTATATGAATCATATTTCATAAAAAAATTAAATATCTGATAAAATAGAATAGATCTCAAGAAATAGAGATAATGAAATCAAAGGAAATTTTATTAGAGAAAGATAGTCCTTCCCTTCTTTTCCCGCATTGAGAGAAAGATATATCAAATTTTAATAAATACATATTTATTTTAATAATATCAAATTACAGTAAATAAATATTTACTCAAGAAAAAAATTGTTAAATCAAATAGTTCTTGTATCAGATAAACATCTTTGTATTTGACAAATGTTTATAAAGGAACGTGCGATCATAATCCGATAATAATATGACTCGCGATTGACTTAAGCGGGCTTCTGTCGAGTTTCATTTAGAATCAGAATTTTATTAGCCATCGATTCATGATTTCATCTCTAATGAAAACGCAGAAACCTACAAATTAAACCGATTTAGATGGCGATCGCAGGCGCAGCACGAGACAGAGTCATCACGTCGCCTCACTGTGTCTTCCATATGATGCGCTTTAGGTTAGAGGGACAAGCTGTAGCTTGATCCTAAGCCGGTCAACTGGAAAGTCTGTAATCCAAGTTATGACGCGCGGGTCAATAATACCCCTGGGCTATTTTTAATAACGTGGTCATGCACAGAGAGTTCTACGAGTGCGCGCGCGCGCGCGCGCGCAGGTACATATATACCATCTGTGTGGAAAGCATGTACACTTTGTGTCACTGAATATCCGCGGGACATCCCGTAGGACTGTGGAAATATCAAACGTAATGACTCCTACACTCGGGCTGAGTACCGGAGGTCGATCGTATATCCTGAAATGAAGTGAAAATTACAAAAATGAACAAATTCACTAGGACCAATTGATCAACGAAATTATGAGTATTTTAATGAATTTACTCACTTTTGTAATTTTCATCTTATTTCAAGATACACAATTGACTCCCTGGCGAAAACGCTTGGCTATTTCGTCGCATCTTACCGCGCGGTAAGTGTTTCCGCGTCCATGTGCAGGAGTCATATAAGTTCACTCATTTCATAAGGAAAGGCATCAAAGTATCCCTCTCCAATTTTAATAAATTTTAAGTATGTTGTTTTGCAGACAATGATAAAGGACACACACGTATTTCTTTATATGTGCCCATTTGCACTTTTAAAGGATGAAACACTCCTTATAGAGAAAAAGTTATTTTGTTTCAATGCGAATATCGTCGAAACTATGAAATGAAAAAAATATTTGAAATAAAAGTTGAATGATTTTAAGAGCACTTTATAATAATTTTTAAAAAATTTATTTAAATAAAAAACCTTTTATTTATAAAAATAAAAAAAATTTTTTTTTTAATTATAAATATTACGTACTGTTCCATTTTTATTTCAAACATTTTTTTCTATCTTTCATAGTTCGCTTCGAAATAGAATAACTAATTTTTTTCTAAGAAGGGTGTTTCCTTAAAAGCGCGAACGGGCACGTATAAAAATGTACGTCCCTTATTTTTGTCTAGAAAACATATTCAAAACTCATCAAAATTAGAAGGGGAATGTTTCGATGCCTTTCTTTGGTTAAAAACGAGCTCTTTCGTGTCTAACGCTTCGAGTTCACTGAACAGTAAACTATCTCACAACCACGTATATCGTGACAATTAATAATCAATTAGTTAATACGTTAGCGCAAAGCCCATATCAGATGCATTAAAAATTAAAAATTGCGAATTGAAAATTAGAATTTGACTTATCAGATAATTTTAATTTTAATCCGTTTTATTTTAATTTTCAATTTGCAATCCTCAATCGCCAATGCATAATTTGATACGAGTTTCCAAATTGAGCATTGTATTAAATTCTGTTCGAAATTTACGAAAAATTGTCGAGCGAAAAGTTAATTGTGCTATTTAAAAAAATTTGTTTCATATTTAATCTTTTAACACAACCCGTAAAAGGAGCACATATTTTTGTAATGTTAAATGAACATAATACTTTGTAACTCGCTAAAGTTTTTGTTATTGATTTTAGAAGAACTTTTTAAATTTTCAATTAGATTATATAAAAAATTGCAACATTTGAAATTAACTTATGTTAATATGTATATTTATATACATATAATACGATAATTAGCTTACATGAATAGAAGAAAACTATAAAAAATATAAAATTGTGAAACATAAAATTATTCCAAATCATTATATTATTTAAAAATTAGGAAAAAATATCTCAGGATTATATATATATATATATATATATATATATTATTCTGAATTAATAACACCAATGAAAAAAATAATTTTGTTCCTTATTTTTTATTTCTATATAACGTTATTATATAATGTATTAACTATATTAATTCTCTATTTCAGTAAAGCACCATAATTACATTTTTCCAATTTGACTGCCATATCAAAATTGCCACTTGGTCTATTAATTTCAACGAACGTCTCGCGTATGATTTAGCGATTCGGGAATATTTGCAAATTTTTTGCGGGATTTTCATGAAAATGGCGGCTGGCATACGACGGTTATATGTGACCCTACGGGATGAAAGGATTTCGGGATGGATTTATGACGGCGCGAAATGATCCAGTGTCATCCTCCTACGTACATTGAGTCCCCATTCGCACTCTACGAATTCCCGTGGATTACGGCAAGGAAATCGATCGAGCTCACTGATTGTGGACTCGCTCAAGAGACATTCGCATACGACGTAATATACGTTTGATCGGTCATATATACATATATCTGCAGTTTCCTTGTCAATTATTCATCATTTCTGTTATTCGTGCGCGATAATATTAATCAGATTACGGATTTATGTATATTAGCGTCTTAATTTTCTGTAAATTTCTACGACATCGACTAATATGCATTTTCAAACAATAGATTAAAGATTTTCGTATGTAATTTTGTTCATAAGTTTTATTAAACTAACTCATAATATAATAAAAATTTGAGAAATTAAAATTATTTTTAGCAAAATAGTAGACAAAAGATTGGGAGTTCTACGTATTGTCAAAAATATTTTTAGCAAAGTAATAAATAAAAGGATGACGGCTCAGCGTATTTTTCTGATTCAGTAATTTATTTTCTATTTTAAAAAAATTTCAAGATATTTAAGAGTGTCAACATTGATTAACTTTGAGAAGCATAATAAAAACAGTTATCAAATTTATTTTAAACTTTTTATATATTATTAACTTTTTATTCGTAAATACTGAAAAATATACACTCTTTTCATAAAATGTATTTTTATAAAAATTTTATGTTTCTCTCTCTGTTTAATTTACTACAATTTTATTTAAAAATTTATACAAACTCACTATTATTGTTTATATTAATATTTACTTACATTATTAATTAAATTAGATTAACGTTATATAATAATCCAACTTTAGTTTTTGTTAAATAATCACTCAGACTTTATTAACTGAATTGTTAGAATTTTATCAACCAAGAAATCGTTGAAAATTCTGTAATATTCAATTTTCGTATTTTTATACTTTGTGTATTTTACCAAATTTAATACGAAGAAATGTAAGTATAATAATTATTATATTCAGCTATTTTGGTATATTTAATTACAAACATTTCTGGAATGTTTTCATTGTTCTTTTTTTGCAAGACTAATTGTTATGTACATAATTATAGTATACATAAATGCTTTATGTAAATATTTGCGAACATATCAGAGGCGCACATTTCCCAGATATTTCTCACG